TCCCCACTCAGGCCCCCTAAGCCCACAAGGCCGAGAGCTCCCTGCCATAGACACGGTGGTACCCCATCTCTCTCTGAGCCCCAGCCAAGGCCTGGACCAGATGAGGGGCAAAGTGAGCATTTATTAAACTGGGTGACACTTCCAAAGCACACTCCAAGAAATGCAACTCCATGCTGAGGAAGGTAATGGCATCTTCACTCTGAAGCTCTTCTAAACTGTCTCTCGAACAGTCCTTCAAGTCATTTTGAGGACCAGAATCTTTCCTTTGGTGAACTCTAACCAGGAAGTAAACACATTCCCCAGACAAAATCAGAGCCTGCTCATTAGGTTAGCTCCATCTCACGGGCATGACAGTGCCTTCTAAAAGTTCCCAGGGGCTCCTGGACTGCAGTTAGAAACTCACTGCTCTAGAATTCCTGGTTTAAAAATTAACAGCAATGATTGTGCTCTTTCACTTTTTATTAGCCATGAAAAATCATTAGTACAGTGGCCACATCTATTATTATGTTAACTCAATATTAAGACACAGAACTTTCTCCCACCTGCTCCTTCCTCACAGATAAGGAGTAGCATCAATGCATGTGACACAAACACAGGAAAAGCTTCCATGTTCCACTTAATCCTTTCAGACTACATGTGGGCATGCCAATTCTGAGCATTTAAATTACATTTGGCCAACTACTGTGGCCATCCCCTTAGACAAGAAAGGAAAGTCCGTATGACCCAGCAGCTCCTCTTCTGTGTATAAACCCAAAAGAACTGAAAGCAGGGACTCGAAGAGATATTTGCACAGCATGTGCATTATTCACAATAGCCAAGAGGTAGAAGCAAGTGAGAATCGACTGATGGATGAACAGATAAACAAAATGTCATCCATTCAATATGCAATGGAATGCTACTCAGGAACAACCATCTGATATATGCTACAACATGGAAGAACCCCGAGAACAGATTGCACGGGGCTGAGGACAACAGCATGGACCCTAGAACTGATTCTCAGTAAGATGAGAAGCCTTTGGAAGCTTTGGACAGAGGAAGGACATGCTCTTTTCTTTTCTTTTTCCCCAGGTACCTCGCCAGAGTTTCTTAGGATTTTGAGCTTCCCTGCATGCAGGGTCTGTATTTGGCATGTCCACACTAATGAAAACCAAGAAGCACTCAAGGCTCTTCAGAACCCCACACTCCCCAACTGGCCCCACTTCACATTTGAGTCTCCTCTCCCCACCCCACCCCCCACCGTCTGGCCCCCAAGGGCATATCTGAGTTTGAGAGCCCTGCAAGGACACGGTTGGCAGGGGCTGCTTCTGCACAGGGAGAGTTACTCACGGCAGCCGTGGGGAGCCTCTGCGTGCACGCCACGGGAAGCCGCAGCTTCCAGTCTGTCTCCCCATCCAGCTGATCCGTCCGCAAGAAGCAAGACCCTGTAGGAGGAAGTTGGGCACCATGTGCTCACCTGCAAGTCGAGAATCCTTCCCTTGCCAGCTCTGGGCAGCTCCTGCTCTGGTCCTTGTAAAAACAGCCAGTCAATGACCAGGGACCAATAGGGAAAATGAATACACTATTTCCTCCTTCCCCCATAAGCTCTGGGGTCAGAGGGATCTCAGTTCAAATCTTCCTTCCACTGCTCACTCACAGCAGGATGCTAGGCTAGTTTCTGAACTTGCTAAGCCACAGTGCGTCCTGGTCTATAAAACGGGGAGAAACATAGACCTCACAAGCTTGCTGTAAGGGTTCGGTGGCCAGCACAGGGCAAGCAGCATTAGAGGCCGTCCCGGGCAAGGGTTCTGAGCACATTCTCAGGCGTCAGGCTGCCTGGGTGCAGGTCTGGGCTCTACTGCTTACTAGTAGCTTTGGGCCTTAGGCAGTTACTTTTCCTCTCTGAACCTCAGTTTCCTCCTGTGTAAAAATGGAGATAGTAACAGCATCAACCTCGCAAGGATGTTGTGAGGATAAAAGAGTTGATCTGTGCAAAGTGCTCAGAACAGCACTGACCCAGGGACGGTGCTACCCCAGGGTCTGCTGTTATCATCAGCCTACACGTTTTGTAGATGTGTACTTCAGTCTTACACACAAGTCCATGCAATTAGCTATGTATTTCATCAGACAGAAAATGTATTCAATTCACTGACACTGCAGGTAAGACTTCTAAGAACTATTAAGGTAAAATACTTTTTTTTTAGAAGAAAGGGAGAGCATATCAGGTGTCCTAATCCGTAATTGGGGGCCCTGATCCACAATCCTCCGTCTTCATTGCATAGGACACAAGAACCAATTTGAGGACAAAGCTGCACTTTTTAAAAGAAGACTGTTTTAATCTAGTGCCTTCCATCCCATCTCCTAACTTCTAATATATTATTGCCATAAAATGTTATTTGTACTTTCATTTGATTCGTAATAAAATAGGTCACAGCAATCTCAAAGGAACATGAATGGAAATTTTTCAGATGTTGAGAAACCTCCAATTGTGTCAGATAAGCAAGAAAAAGAAAACAGCCTTGTTTCCTCAGAACAACTTAAATAACAAAAATAAAAAGTATGGCAATTTTGAGTCAATGGATAGGGTGGGCAGACAATGGTGGCAGCCAGCTCAGGAGTGAGAGAGATTCACTCCCGCAAACACTGGTTGTGACAATAAATAAATTCGGTGGACGCGGCGGGCGCGGCTCCGCAACTCATGAGCAAGGACAGAAAAGGCACCCACCTCTCTGCCCAGTTTCTCTCCTGCCCCATCTCACCCCACACTGCCTGGTGTTGCCTTAGAAGAGAGCGGATTTCTGTTTGCTTCTATTATTACAGACACTTCCTCGTTCCACCACCTCCTGAAGTTGGGTTTAATGCAGCCCAGAGAGAAAAACCCATGTGTGATTTTACCAGCTGTGAGTCCATGGGCGTCCAAGTCGCTGTATCTTTTACATGATCAAAATCTATTGGCTTGCGAGCCCCAAAAACGCTTTCTGAGAAGACAACTGTTCTATTAAAAAAGATGTTTTTGACTCACCTCTAGGGCTCCAAAATGATAATCGACTTCTGTTACATTTTCAAATGATTATTTTGCCAAATTACCACTGAAAGGTTAATGGTTATTTTCCAAATTGATCTCAGATGTTTACCATTTTTTTCTGATGTCCTCAGGAAGATCATGTCAGCAGGGACCCGCTGGTTCTGTTATGAATAGAAAGCCTGTTACTGTGAATATCTATGTGCAAGGGTTTCCACGCCCCTACCCCAACCCCTCAGGTTGGAGGAGGTGGGGAACGACCCAAATCCACAGCCTCTTTTAAGTCTCTTCCTTTGTCAAAGGCAGATTTGGGGATTTATTTTGTTTTGAATCTGAAAAATCTTACACACGGCTGTTACTTTACTAATCCTCTACTAAAATCTTATCTTGGAAAGAGAGCTTCTAGTTTGCTGGCAAGTCCAACCATTCCCTCCTGAAATTACAGCCAGGGTACACAGGCGCAAAAGCCCACTACCCCGCTGGCTGTCTTCCAGGGTGTCTGCTGATATTCAAGACAGACACACTCTGCTCATGCTTTCTGTTTCCACCAATTTTCCAGCTTGATGTCTGGCTTGCAGTGGAATTTTAATAAGGAAGTAAAGTAGTAAGAAGTAACACAAGCCATTCTCAAAAAAAGAGAGAAGCCAACAGAAGCCCCCGTTTAATCATGAACAGAAAAGTACTTGATAACATAAAGAGGGTTTGTGTGGTTCTGAGCTGCCACCCGAAAGCATTTCACTTCACCTCAAATCGACTTTGAGTTCTTGGATTTAATCCTTTTAAAAGAGCACAGAGTTCAATTCCTACAGAAACAAGTTAAGACACAACTCTTTTCTAATCAAATATTATTCCAAGACTCTCCAGGGCCACCCCAAAATCCAATACCTTCCAAATATATATAGAAGAAAAAGATACGAGTGTTTGTTGAAGTAACAAACATATTAACACTGCTATTTTTAAAAGTGCATTTTTGGCCTTTTTAACGTTCTCGTGTTACACTTAACCTCTGCTCCCTATAAAACAGTAGACAAGCACAATGTTTAAGTCAGAAAATGCAGGCTGAAACTGCTCAAAAGGTAAATTAGGTAAATATTTTTAAGTGTCTATGTAGCAAGCAGTATTCTAGGAAAGATTTTATGATGGATTATTATTTTTTTTAAATCCCCAAACAATAAACACATCGAACAGGAAATCAAAACTTGTGTTTGTAAACAGGAAATGCTGGCTAATCAGCTCACACAAACTTTAAAAAAGTATTTTGTGTGAATTGCATAGGAAAGAAATTATTCTCCCCAGGCAAAGCTGTTGGATGGAATCCCAAAAAGCATCATTCAATTTGTCTACCAGATACACAAATTACATGTTAGGATCCATGCAGTGGTGGCAAAGACATCCCGGCCGCACATACTGACAGCAGCCCAGCCTGTGACAAGCTTGGAGGCTCCACTCACCTTTTCAACAATGATGAGATCTCCAACTTGGATGCTGGAACTCTTCACCTTTACTGTCCCTGCAAAGATACATCACTGTCTTAATTCGCTTCAATTCAGTATGTCTTTGTTGAGCATCCACCAGTCGCAAAGTCATATTTACAGTACACCCAGAAGTGTGTGTGCCCCCACCTGCCACTTCCCTCTCCCCCAGTGTCATTATCTCCTGTCTCTCTAAGCAAAAGTTAACCTGCTGCAGTGACGGCTCCAAAAATTAAATCCCCACTTCACAGGGCACTGGAATAACCCATGCCCTTCGAGAAAGACAGTCTAGTCTGTCTTAATAGTGACTTAGAAGCTTTTTTAAATCAGCACCATAAGACTCTAATCAGCCTCAAAAAAAAAAAAAAAAAACACAACCAGAAATAGGGCTGAAAATTAAGAGTCAGATCCATGAGGAAAAAGTCAACTCTTAATTTTCAACACCACCAAAAAGAAAGAAGCTAACCCAAAATGACTGATTTACTTTTTAATTTACAATTGCTCTACAGTTTGGTTTATAGGATTATGCTCAGACTATGTAATTTTTGCTGAATGTTTATCTGGATAAACATTAAAAGCTAACATCAAACACACTAACTCTGTGCTAAGCACTGTACCGAGGTTGATGGCTTTGTTCAATCCATCAACAGCAGTCAGAAGAAGGTATTATTATCATCTCCAGTTTTCAGAGAAGGAAAGCAGGCCTAGGACACTCCATCTTCCCCAAGTCTCGGAGCTAGAACCCATCAGCACCAGGAATCACACTCACGTCAGGAATCACACTCACGTCTAACTCCGAGTATGGAGTAAGAAGTCGTGAGTTCAGTTCAACTCAAAAAAACACCATTGAGTGCTACATCCTGGGAGTTCAAAGATGAAAGTCCCCAAAGCCTTAAAAAGCCCAGAGCCTGGCACAGGAGTGGACACACTTGTCCTGTGAAGGGCCAGAAACTGAAGAGTGCCAAGAGGTAATGTCCTTGATTCCTGCAACAACTGTTCTCCCCAAAAGGCTGACAGTCTTCTGTACATTTACATTTTACATTTTAAAATGTGAAAACCACCCTTAGCTCTCTGGCCATACAAAAACAAATGGAGAGCTGACTATGGTGCACAGGCTCTGGTTGGCAGCACACGACCTGGTGAGAACACCAGCCAGACAGATGCTGTCAGTGCAAAGTGGCACATGATGTGACAGCAGTGAGTCCTGGGTCCTCGGAGAGCAGAAAGGGGGAAAACTTCCCCCTCTGAAGATGGACCTGGAGCAGTGCCCAGCACACAGAAGGCACTGATTATTCACTCAACATTCAAGCAATATTAACTGAGAGCCTGCTGTATGCCAGGTGTTCTAAAGCTAGGGATACCCAGAACTCAGATTCAAGTGGAGAGCAGGGGTTTAATAAACACACAGGGATCAGATGGGAGTGGGGACTTGAAGGGGTAGGCGTCAACAAACTCACTGCATCAGAGCTGAGGCCGGAATTAACCAGACGAATGACACCCTGGGTGCCAATAACAGGTGAGGAGGTGGCGTGAGATGCGAGAAAGGGGTGCCTGCGAGGGATGCATGGCATGCACATGACCCAAGGCTGGACACCTCCAGCAAGACCTGAAGCACCACGTGGAAGGCAGGGAACAGCAAAAGATGAAGGTGGAGGGGCTGGTTGGGGCCAGGTGATGCAGCACCCTGTGAGCAAGGCCAGAGAGGACGTGGGCCTTTATTCTAGGGATGGGCCCAATTTTTACACAAGGGAGCACTGTAAAATCTTTACATTCCTGGTGTCTTGTGGTAAGCACATTTAACTTGCAAATGTTCAGCTGAGAGATTATAAATAATGATCTTCAGGGGCCGGCCCGGTGGCGCACTGCTACAGTGCGCCACTTGGGAGTGCGGCGGTGCTCCCGCCGAGGGTTCAGATCCCACATACAGACCGGCTGCTCACTGGCTGAGCCAGGTGCGGGCGCAACACCGAGGGTTGCGATCCCGTTGCTGGTCCCGGTCCGGTACGGGCGCGACACTGAGGGTTGCAATCCATTGCCGGTCACGAAAAAAGACAAAAAGGAAAAAAAAAATGATCTTCAAACCCCTTCAATAAGTACATGTCCCATAGCAAGAGCGAAATGGGAATCAGGAACCTGCACTCCCCTCAGTGTAGTCATTCATTCAACAAATACCCAGTGCTCACTTACTAGGACTCCTACCTCTGCTTCTCTAGCTTTATGAAGAGCTTGACACTTATGAAATAATCTGAGTGCACAACTCTACATTTCCACAATTTCTCACACTGTTCTACACTTTGAAGGTAATTTAATGCCATGTGTTTTTTAATTCACCACTACTGAGATTTTTCAAAGCATTCAAATTATTTCTATTGACACAACTCTCTTCAATAGGTTCCACCAGGTTTGATCTTAACTCATTTTTGTATTTCATTAAATTTTGTCATTATAAGTAGAACTGGCACCAAAGGGTCTGCATACAAATACTACTGACTTCTAGAAAGCACTCAACAAGAAGCACTCAACTTGTAGAAAGCTTGGTGACAAGCTAGACCAAGCCACAATTGCTGCTAGGACTTCTGGACTCCCCTGGTGCAAGGATATCATGCTACGAAGTGAACACCTAGCATTTCATGATGCCTTATTTTCATAACACATGATGCTAAATTCAGCCCTATGGCCTGAACCCTGGTGTGGTACAGACCGACCCACTAAGCCTCAAGTTTCATTATGTCTTGGGCTTCAGTCTTTATATTTACAGAGGGACAGGAGAACATCCACTAAACCAAACAGTTAGGTGATTAGAAATAGAGGGACTGATCGGCAGAATTCTTTGACTGCTTGAACCACTCCGCTTGTTCCACTAGGGGGCGACAGAAAGAACACACGTGGACGAACCTTTCTGGTGCGCTTAAGGGAGGAAGATCGTAAATTCAACATGGCCTTCAGCGCCAATGAACTTTTCCTTCACCTGAGCTTGCCCCAACTTTCCCAAACATAAATTTACACATTGCCTTTGGTTTTATTACTAAAATTTATGCTGCTGGCCTGACCTAAACGATCACACCTGTGTTCAGATCATCAAGCCCTAGTTACGAGTTTTCTCTTAAAATCTAACTCGAAGAGAGTATGTTTTAATTCTTAATAAATAATAATTGCCTTTGTATACATGTGTATGTTAGCGGGACAGAGGACAAAATCAGGAGGATTATACTGAAAGGACTGGCAGTGATTCTTTCTGGGGATATGAGGGATTCATCCCTTTCTCTGGCATAGATATTTTCTAAATTCTTCACATTAATTTTCTTACAATAAGCATGAGGTTGCATTTCTAAAGAGAAAAATAAAAACAAATTAAATTAGCTGAAATTTTTAAGTGACTAGGCCCAGATTTTTCCCTTCTGCAACTGAGCCCTGATTTATGATCAGTTAATTTGAACTCTGCCTCTTTCTGTCCATCTGCTCTACCTCAACAAAAACCCTTTAATCCGCTGTGTTTGCAGAGCAGTTTCTGAGTAACCCCAGCAGGCCGATCCTTCATGGCAACACTCCTACTGTACCTGACAGTCAGCCAGCAGGTCTCTGGCTCCATCTCAGGAGGCCTGCGGGAGCCACACCATCAGGAGGTCGTTTGTATTTCCTAGCCATGGCTCACTCATTAGCATTTCAGTGTTTTAGGGGGATGAGCCTTGGCTTTGCAGCTTCAACAAAGATGGACCCCCAGACTCCCATTCTACTGAGCTAATGCAAGGTGCTGACCATAAATGCAGACTTTGCATGCCAGGTTGCTTTCTAGAAGTCAGTATTTTGTCAAAATATGTCAAAAATATGTTGTTTGGGTCTGCATGCTGGACATGGTGTGTGTGTCTCTGTGTGTGTGTGTGTGTGTGTGTGTGTGTGTGTTTTGAATAATAAAAGAGAGGAGAAAGCAGATACTGATATTTCTATTCCAACATTTACTGGCAATTTTCCATCAGCCGGCACTAGGATTGGCTGTTGACATCTGAATAAAAGAAAATATCAGTATCTAAGGAGCTCACAAGTTGGTAGGGAAGACTCAGCTAGAAAGGGAGAAAGAGGAGGGAGAGAACAGAGGGACCAAAGTTAGAGGTGAGGAAGAGCCGAGCATTCAGTGGCTAGGACTGACTGACTCACACAGTGAGAAAACGCTTAAGATTGTAGAAAGGGCCCAAAACATAATTTCTAACATCACATCAACCACTATTCTAAGCTTTCTATAAATGTTCTTGGGGGGGGGGGGAGGAACCAAAAAACAAAAAAACAGGATACAGAGAAGCAATCTGGCAGAGCCTCTTCAAAAAGTGACACAAGAAAGAAAAAGCAGCCCACTTGCAGTGATTATTACCCATCTCCAAAGAGAGCAGGAACTCTCCTTGCAGCTCATTCAATTGGAAAGACAACATTCTCCTAACACTCCACTGAGAAGGTAGCAGGCACACTTCCCAAGCACCCCTATTTTACTCGTTCGTCTGGCTCCCTCAGAGCCTACNGCTAGGGATACCCAGAACTCAGATTCAAGTGGAGAGCAGGGGTTTAATAAACACACAGGGAACAGATGGGAGTGGGGACCTGAAGGGGTAGGCGTCAACAAACTCGCTGCATCAGAGCTGAGGCCGGAATTAACCAGACGAATGACACCCTGGGTGCCAATAACAGGTGAGAAGGTGGCGTGGATGCGAGAAAGGGGTGCCTGTGAGGGGTGCATGGCATGCACATGACCCAAGGCTGGACACCTCCAGCAAGACCTGAAGCACCACGTGGAAGGCAGGGAACAGCAAAAGATGAAGGTGGAGGGGCTGGTCGGGGCCAGGTGATGCAGCACCCTGTGAGCAAGGCCGGAGAGGACGTGGGCCTTTATTCTAGGGATGGGCCCAATTTTTACACAAGGGAGCACTGTAAAATCTTTACATTCCTGGTGTCTTGTAGTAAGCACATTTAACTTGCAAATGTTCAGCTGAGAGATTATAAATAATGATCTTCAAACCCCTTCAATAAGTACAAGTCCCATAGCAAGAGCGAA